CGATCTCCGCCATGCAGATGTTGGTCTAAACCAGTCTGCCATTAAGCAGATTGCCATCAATGAGTTCTCGGTGGAAGGGCACTCAGGGACAAGTTTTGGCTTCAGTGACTGTGTCAGACATTAACTGTGTGGCTGTAGATACAGCCTGCTGGTTTGCTACCTGGTAACCAGTGCAGGATTAGAGGTAGTTAAAAAAAAAAACAACCACACAACAACTTTGGAAAATGTCTAGAGGGGGAATAAGTATCAATTTTCCATTACAAAATAATTGGTTAGGACACTATCATAAATTCTTTCTCTCTCCCACTTTGCTTGTCATTCAGGCTTGTTACTGGGGGGAAGAACTGGCACCTCCAAGGCACGGTGGGTTCCTGCCTTTTGTGCCTGATGTCTACGAGCTGCCCTGACACAAGTAGTTAATAGTGAGAGCAGTGAGCAGACTTCAAATGGTTGCAGCCCAAAATACATCCCTTGCATCAGAGACCCTGTGTTGCAAAGGGGATACCACGTTGCTCAATGTCCTCAGTGACTGCTGGCTTTTAGAGAGTTGGAGCAACAATCTGTTTGGAGGCCTGAGCTCACAGCTGGACTGAGCTCTGATTTACCCTTCCAATGTGTGGGGATAGGTCTGCCTGTGTCTTTTGTTCTAAATTTCCATTTTTGTCCAGTACTGTCAGCTACATTTGGGTTGCCAGGACACAACATAATGGTGTAGCCCTAAGGACAGAGCTGCTTCTGACCCAGGGCTGAGCATTTCTGCTTTTATTTTATTTTATCCAGGAGTCCTACTATAGGAAAGCAACATTAAGCAAAGTCATGTCACTGGTTCACTGCATTCTCAGTAAGTCCTGGGCTTTGTCAATTCCTCACGGAGGTGCTCACACACGTTAAGTTCTGAGATGCCAACACTGAAATTTTTCCCAAGCATCTGTCGATGGATCATCCTGTTGTTCTCCTCCCTTCTCCCACCCATCACCATTCCTTAAGCCTCCAGAGAAATGATGCAGTGAAAGTTTGCATGGAAAACAAGGAAGAAGCTGTAGACACTACTTTCACCTGCTGTGATATGCACAATAGCTGGATGCTGAAAAGGCTCTCCTCATTCTTCTAGGAGGAGAGTCTCATGTGAGCTCTCAAAATAGGACTTTAGCAAGCCAGAGCTGAATTTCATCCAGTCCCATTCTCTGCTGGAGAAGGAAAAACTTGATATTATTAACGTAAGAGGTGAGGTTAGCTCAGGAATCTGTGCCAGAAGAGGCTGAAATCCCTGCTGTACGTTTTGGAGAGCTGGAGTGTGATGGTTACAGCATGGGGTAGGTGCCCAGTTCTGTGGAGTTTCAGCTGGAACTGAATGGCTGATGTGCCCTTGAAAATCCCAGCCTGCAGTTCCTCCCCACTGCAGTTACAACAGCACAAAGACAATGTGGTAATGTCTGCTGTTTTACAGAATCTCTTTATCTGGGAAAAAAAAAGTCCTGTCAGACTAATCAGAGAATTAACAGTATTACAAAAGTGCTCCTCACAAATGCTAAAATGCAGACATGACTCAGATTAATTTTCAGATCAGGAAACTTATCTTTCTAGTGTGCAGCACTAGTCCGTGTGAGAGGATTCTGGCTTTAATATGGATTTGTTTGGTGGCACTTGGCAGAGAAACAGAGAGCTTTTTTTTTTTTTTTTTAAATTATTATTATTTCAAAATCTACTGGAAAGGATTTAGCAGCCTTTTGGAAACATTACATTTTCTCTATTTTGGGGAGAGTTTTGACCTTTCCTATAGACTTTAGTTGTCCAGGATTGTCACATCTTATTTCTTTAAATACCCATAAGAGGAAAAACTCACAAAGCAAATGGAAGGTTAGTGAACTTTGCTTTATTTTGCTCACAATGCGAACTTTCAAACGATTGGAAAATAATTTCCTTCTATTTTGAATGATAGAAGTTAAAGATAGGAATGACCTATTAGATCACTGCGAGCATTTCCTTGACAATGTGGTTCTGTTTCATTAACTGGAAGAGAGGAACACAAATTTTGTCGGCTGAGCAGCTCCAGGGGCCAAGAATGGTGTGTGGAGACCCTCATGGTGAGGAAGACCTGAGCCAACTCAGCAGGGACCGGATGCCTTCAGCACCAGCCCTCTGTTTGGTGGCCTTATGAAATGAATGAGTTGCGTCTGCCCGACGTGGAGTGACCGGGGATGAATAGCACAAAAAGCACAGCTATGACTGCTCCATTTATTGGCCGTTTTGGCAGCATGGCTGAATAGCAAATGGATGTGGAAAACTGCTCAGAAACTCCCAAACAGGGACCCAGCTATGTGGAGGAACCTGCACTTCCTTCACCCTTTGACATTTTATTATTAACTACTAATTTTGCAATCCATAGCCCATTTGAAGGGCACAAAGAGAGGCAGCTTAGAACAACAATCATCTTGTTGGGTAAAAGCAGCAGTCTGTGCTCCAACGCTCACATGACAAAATTTGTTTTCCACAATGTTTCCTGGGCACTGCTTAACCGCAGGGTAAGTTTTTAATAGCTTTCTTCTTTTTTCCCCTTTCTTCCCTTAAACCAGTGTTACACTGGTAGAATGTATTTCAGAGGGCAGGGAAAGATTTGTTCTTGTCCGGTTTGGAAGTAATCATGGAAAAGTCTCTATCTCAAACAGAACAAATTGTTTGGATCTCCTGCCCACTGGCTCTGCAGAAGCTCCTTGGGACAATATCATTCAGTTCGAGGATTTTCCATGGCCAATCTGCCCTGGAGTTTAAAGGTCCTTGAGCAGTGTCAGAGGGTTTTGCTTTCTCTACATCTCCAGAGGGTGACAAACACAATTACTGCTGTTCCAGCGGAAATTTATCCTGAGCCTTCATGGCACTTTATTGACTTTGGCTGAGGCTGGCTCAGAGCTCCTGTGCAGCAGGATGATGGATAAGGCACATATTGCAGGTTGTCAGTCCCGTGCACTCCTGAAGCTACGATGGCACCTCCCAGTAAGCTGAGAGCTGGGTATTCAAGCACTGTGATCTTCAGAAAGCTGATCTGTACCCCACCAGCAGACACTTACCTCTTCTTCTCATGGATCCAGAATGAAATCCTCCTTCTTTTAGGAGATGGGAGAGGAGTAGGATACTGTCCCAAGTGTGCTACGGGTAGGGAGAATTTAGTGGGAGCCAAATTGTCATAATGTCCTTGTTACAGCCAAAGGCAAGGGTTGCAGAAGCAGCTGTTTCCTTATCAGAGACTTGAGTGTGATATGCAGAGTTTGGATATGTAATACAGCTGTAGAGGATCACATCTGGAATGGAGTCAGATCTAAAGAGGCTGAGGTTGTTGGGCATCATTTTGTCACTGGGAATGTCCTGTCAGGTTAAATGCAGACCTGTGGCCCACACTGCATCTGCAAGAACTGAGAAGTGAAATGGGAAAGAGGAGAAAGTCTGCTGAGGGATGGGCAAAGAGGAGGGTGGTTGTCCAACTGCAGGGCAGTGTCCTCATCCAAGTGGCCCACCAGACAGGACACGGGCACGCTGGCTCCACACATCCCTCACGTGGCCTCTGCCATGGGGCTTTCTCTTTTTAAAAGTGCTCTTTCCTTTGTGGCTGTCACTTTGGTCCTCTAAGTGGGGCAGTTCCCTGTAGAAGATGCTGCTGATGTAGAGATTTGCATGTTCCAGGTTCTCCTCCATGGAGGCCAAATCCAGGTCATGGTTGAAAGATGAAGCAGATCCACATTTGCTGAGCCCTGTGAGAACTCCAAAGCTACAGGAATTGAGAAGCACAGTGCTGGGAAGTCCATCCTCCTGCAGTCTCAGGTATCAGGCCCAATAGTCCCCCACTGATTTGAGAAATTAATTTCTCTCTGTCCCCTCTCCCTCTGTCTCTCTGGAGGGTGAGAAATACATACAGATGCTGTTACAAGGCAGGGAGCTGAGCCCCTCTGAAGCTCTGTGTCTTGTGAGGTGTCAGTCCAGATTTGTCCTGCGGCTGGGAAGACAAGCCCACATGTCACCTGATGCACCTGACAGTCTTGCTGTGGGGTAAATACTACACAGATGAAGATTTATTTCCATGTGTATAATGCCTCCTTAAAAGACTGAGATGGAAGAAACAAACAGAAAGGCAACAAACCCTGTTGATCTGTGTGTGCCCATTTATGTTCCTGAATAGAAGTGCCCAGCAACTTTTGAGATGCCTTTGAAAACTTTGGCCAAACTCTTTCCTTATAAAGGATTCAGTTTGATTTGGTTTTCCCAGCATGGTCTCAGCTGCAGAGCATTTAATTCTCTTGAAATAGGTAGACTTTCTTTAGTCCTTCTGTATTTGTGGAATTTTGCATGTCCCTTCATTTCCTAGGTTTTGAGAACATTATTCTCTAATAGATTTGAACTATATTTATCTCATAATTTATATTTTCTCCTTGTTATCCTTTACCCTGACATAAATTGCTTTGGGGTGGATTGGCCCTTTGAGCTCTCTTGCTTTCCCTCTGTTTTCCAGTATTTCTTTTGATATGTTATACAAGAACACACATTTCACCTTGGCATTTGGCAGCACCTTCCCCTCTTATCTTGCATTCATGAGCTTTTAGAAATGTCCTGCAGTAGCCTTGCCTGACTGCTGGGTGTCTAAGGCTTTTAATAGTTCTGCTAAGTTTAATTGTACTTGATTTTGCTGCTTCGTTTTTATACGCATGCCAGACAGCTCATCCCCTCAAGAATGTCCTGAAGGCATCCTCTGCCATAATAAATAACAGAAGTGATAGTTAAAGTATACATATATAAATAAAGCTTGCTCTGGTGTGTGAGTTTGCCCAGCAAATATGAAAATGCGACCGAGGGCCTGCACCTCTGCATTCAAATCCTCGCTGCACAGTGAAATGAGCTGGAATGTGCTACAGTGATTTTCTTTGATAATGTCTGGTTTATAATTTACTTTTGGCTGAAGCATTCAGTGAGGGAAAGCCATTTGAATAGCTTTGTAAGAACGCTTTCTCTTTCTGGTGCTGCAGGCTGCAACTTTCACACTCTGAGACTAAATCCCTTTTGCGTCGTCCAGGTCCTGGGGAGAGACATTTATTTAAAAGTAGCTGAAATGAAGCACAGAAACAAACTGTAAGTGATTTTTGGCATTACAAGTGCAGTGACTGTAAAGCAGTGGCTCGGCTCCATACTTTAATAGGCTTTAACGTATCAATTATAGTGCTGAGTAGTAATTAGGGCAACACAGCAAAATGCAGAGTGACCTCTAAACTGTTCCAAAGTTGTGGGAACTGGTGGGAAGGGGGATTTGGGAGCAGACTGAATTCTGGTAATCATACCACAGGGTACAAAAGAGAAAATGTGACTATTAATAGTTGAACTTGGTTTCAGCAACGCAGGCAAGCCTTGTGGGAAGAGGGTGAATCTTCCCAAAGCGTGGAGGTAAGTAAATGGGCTGAGCAGTGGGTAACACTTCTGGGACCACAAGGAAGAGCGTGCTGGTCCTGCCAGCCTGCCCACTCCATTACATGAAATGTGTCTAAAAGCCCTGCACCACTCCACTGAGCTCAGCTGCTCGAGAGCCTCTCAGGAGGAGGGTGAAAGCTGAGAGCTGGGGAATTCTGCTTCTCGTTTCAGCATGGCCTAACGACACCCCCAAAAATTCCACGGTACAAAGGGATGCCAGGCCTCCAGATACGCTCCTTCCACCCTGCACTCAGATGCTGAAAATGCACTCATCCTGGCTCAGAACGGGTGCTCCAAAAATTTTGGAGGACAGAGGCACTGCACCCCCTTCATGGTAATAATGATAATGTTAAGAGCGATATAAACCACAAAATTACAAGTTTTCTTCTGTTAATGGTTGTTTTCTGCTCAAATTGCCCTGGAAACAGAGTGAAATGTCCGGTGGTACTGTGTATGTTTAGTTGTAGGGATGGCAACCTATATCCACGTGTGCCCTGAAAGGGCCAAAACCCAAACTCTTGTTTTCAGGGTGGAGTCAAAGCCCTGAAACACTTCTCCAATGTTTATAGCCAGTGATCAGTTCTAAGCTAAAGAAATATTTATTTTAAAGCGTAAACTGAGCAGTGTGATTTTTTTTTTTTTTTTTTGCCCAGGATATTCCTCTTGATGTTACTATTTTGATATGCCTAAGTTCATTGGTATAAATAGGGTGCAGTTGTCATCACATTTAACTATAAAAAGCCCTCCTCAGCTGACAGCATAGGTATCATAAAGTCACATCACCCCCTACTAAGCAATTTTCACTAGAGCCATATGTAAGCTTCTGAATGACAAGCCTGCCTTTCTGGCCTTGGCTGGCATATAATTTAGGAACAAGGGAAGAAGCAAAGATTTGTAGGCTTGACATAGAGCACCAATGAATCATATACTTGAAAACTTTATCCACTATAGCTGAAAACAAAAATCACATACAAGCCAAAAATGCAAAGTGGGCCCCCTGGATGTGACATGGCTTGGCTCACCTCCAGGAGGCTTCAGCAATCTCCTAGCACGGTTGGAAACGTGCCAACAAGTGTCCTTCACGAGGGTGGAGGGAATGAAATGCTCAAACAAGAACTAATTTCTTCATGTGAGATCTTACAGGGAAAAATGGCTGTACTATCCTCATGAAGAGCGAGATGAAAGCTTATCCCATTTTAGGACTCGGTCTTGTCTACCCAGCAGAGTACTTATATGGGCCCCATACTGTCCTGCCTGAGCGAGTCGTGGTCTTGAACACATATATTTTTGTGGGTAGGAAGGGCTGATATTTGTGCTTCAGCTGGTGAAGGCATGAATGGGAATGCAGTGTTACACCCCACACTGAGAGAATGGAAATTAGCACTGCTTGTCTCAGCAGCAGAGCAAGTCAGGAGGAGCGTTACTTGAGCGTATCTGAGCATAAAAAAAGTAAAGGAGAGGAGAGTCAGACTGTGCGAAGGTAGGGAGAACTGCCAAGACTCAACTGGATAAGTAACACGTAGTAAATGCTTAGAGTCACCTTGCCAGACAAATATTTGCCTTTCACTTTGAATGAAGACCAAATCATGTTCTAACTAGTAGGACCAAGAAATTCCACACATTTTAGTTAAGTTGAGTGTCCTGCAGAAACTCCATTGGTAAGTGTGTGAGGGCAGACTTTGGGGCTTTGCTGGACAGACAGGAGGAAAAAAAAATAACTCAGGAAGATATTTCAGTGCAGGAAAAAGATCAGAGGGAACACTGGAAGCTGGGAACGGAGTGGAAAAAAGCTTTGTAAATGAGTGTGGCTAAATACACCACTGTACTATATGGATAGACTTCATATGTAGCAATGGTCAGAAGGGTGGAATCCAGGAGCTGAAGAGATCAAAATCTCTGGAGAAACACTGGAGACAAGCTGCATTTCCTCCCTAAATCAGGTTATCTCTGATAAGTATATTATGGGAGGAATTAAAATCTAGACTAAAGACCACAGTCCCTGGACATTTCCAGTAATTTCTTGCAACCATGTAGACTTCCTTCTCTTGTTCAGTGAACCAAATGCAGAAGATGACAGCAGACAAAGGACAGTAGTAGAATTGTCCTTTTTGTGACAGATGTGATCTTGGTGTCATTATTTAAGGACTAAACTTACAGGCAGTATTCATTGTTCTCAGGCCATTTGTTCTGTCTTCTGTAATAGCTTTTTATGACCAATTTTTTAGAAACTAATCTTAAACTGTTACTAGGTTGTTACTAGGTGAGTAGCTCTGATTGGGCTTAAATGCGTCTAACTCAGTTTTAATGAAAAACAATACAAAAAAAGAGGGAGAAAGGCTGAAATGGACCAGCTACTTGATCATTGGGCTGTGCAAGATCGTTGGGCTATGGTGTGATCCCTGTTAGTGCAGACTACCCCTCTAGTTTTTTTTTTTTTACTTTAAAATGAGCCAGAAATGACACCTTCACAATTTCCCTAGGGAAACCTGGGATCCAGAGCTCTTTGCATTCAGTAGGAATCTTTCCACTGACTTTGATGTCCTTTGGACTAGACCTCATATTTCCACGGTATTTCTGGGATGTGTGTCTGAAATTCACTTGCTTTCCTCAAGCTTTCTCATGCATCATTCTGGCCAGCACATTTACTGCCATGGATACAGCCTGGTGCACAGTTACGAGTTCTCCAGTTTTTAGTCAGTAGCAAACACTGTCTGATAGTCTCTCTAATTTTCCTTTCCAGCTTCATCCCATTACAGCTCCTGTATCCCCTTGGGCAGCTGTGATTTCTCTCCATTCTAGCACCTGTGCAGTCACGTCTTGTGACCTTGTATCATGTATGTAAACATGAAAAAACTTAATTAAAATGAACAAATATATCAAATTGTTCCACAATATACAATCTAAGTACTCATGTACCCTTCAAAGGCGTATCTGAACCACCGGAATAACACACTGTTTAGCAACTATTAATTAAATGATGTTTATACAATGCTTTGAACATGTAAAGTGATGAGAGTTTCCGAGCATATCACGAACATCACTGTTATACAAAAATCAGGAATGTGCTGAACTTCTGTGAATCCCTCCCAATTACCAAAGATTCTGTGAGTTGAAGAGAATCAGCCGTGGCAAGCTAACAGATAGTCTTTCTTCCAGCTGGGCTGTTCTTTTGTCTCCAGAAAATGGTAAAAAGTGTAACTTCTTTTACCCATCTTGTTTATTTAAGCCCATTTGTCAAAGCCTACCGCAGAATGGTTATTTTAGCTTGCAGAAATCCTTCCGGGTCAGAAAGTCCTTTGGAAATCCCAGATGCAACTGCTCTCCCTTCCCATTCCCTCCTTTTAAGTCCTGAAAGTCTGTCAAAGTCTGGGCTGAATTCCTGAAACCAGTTGGAGTGTAGCTCTTCTTTTGTTCCCTGCTGCCAACTGCAGAAAGCTGCGTTCACCGGGTTTTGTAGTCACCAGCTTTAAAATCCCTAAGTCCCATTGCTTCCTTTGAATGGCAAAGCAACATTTTAAACCTAGGAATGACTTTACAGAGCTTTTCACTGGCGGTGTTGGATGGACTGCTGTGCTGTCTCTGATTTCAAGGAAGAATGCTTTAAGCAGCCCGTCTGTTTCTTAAGACTATGAGAGGTAAGGCTAAAACTTGCAAAATAACATCTGGAAAGCCCAGATCATTCTCTAATATAGAAATACTACATTCATCCTTGAGGTTTTAAGGCTATAAATGTAGTTCTATCGGTGTAATTAATTCAGCTTAAAGGGATGTTTTCGGTTTTTAAGTTATATACATTTAAACATGGTTTAAATGGAGAACTGCTTCAAGTGCTGTAGGGCTATTGAGTTTTACTGCACTCGAAGGTACTAGATGTTTGGTTAATTTTTGTCCTCTTACTATTCATCAGCAAATTAAATTACTGTTCTGCTTTCGGATAGAAGTACAATCCAATTCATTAATCATATTGAGATTTTTAAACCTGCACTAGTCTGTTACGACTTGTTCTTCATGAGGCTGAAAAATATTTCTTTCATCAGAATGGCTTAATGCCTATAAACATGTTCTAATTATATTTTCTTGGAATTAATCAAGTTCGTTATGTTTAGTTTGGGATCTACATATGAAGTGAATCTGAATTGTGAGTGTCTGCCACATTCCCTTCAGACATTAGTGATAAAAATATTGGTGTGGGATTTTCAGAAGTACTTGCTTTTGGCCTAATCCTTTTCCTCACACAGTCAGCTGGAGTTTTACCCTTCTTTTTGCAGTGTGGATTTTGGTAAAATATGAGCACTTCTCAAAACCTTATAGTTTTGCAAATTTGTCAAACAACCTAAGACAAAAAGTCTACACAAGCTGTCATTTAGAATGAACTGTAGTTATCCCTGCTTGGCTGGTGTTTTGCTTTTTTCCCCTAAAATAGAGGCTTAGTGAACATTTGGGATGAAAAGTGATTAAGCTTCAGTGTAGTCTGCTATCAGAAATTTGGGTTTTTTAGATGAGGAAAATCTGTCAGATACCTAGAGAATCCTTAGAGAATCCAGACTCAAAAAGTCAATGGGCTTATACAAAAAAGCCCCACTTGTACAGAAACTAAGACAATCTTTTTGATGAAAAGCCCTCTGAGAGGGAGATCTTCATCTCATTAGCTCAAGCACAGTTGTTTC